ACTTCTATTTAAAAATCTCAGAAGCATATTATACTCCATGCAACATAAGATTCCAGAGGTACTTAAATTTTACCTGCAAAATCCAGTTAATTGAGTCTTCCATTTATCTACAACACTGTAATTGAATTAGAACAAGGCAGTCTTACACAAAGTTACCCAAAGTAAAAAAAAAAAAATCAGTATAAATATGCTCCTTTGCTGCTCATCACATGCTTCAAATGCTCATCACTTTATTCAGTTCCCAAATAACAGCATCCTTCAGGGTAAATTTCAGCTTTGCCAATGTAAAGATAGAACTGCTTGGACAGGATTTAAGCAGCTCAATTTCATGATGTGGTGGTATTTCTCATTTCTCATGATAATTGTTCTTAAGACTGAAAAATGAGAAATACCCCCATGTCATGGCAGAAAGCTTATGTTTCCCCTTTCCTCTCTCTCCAACCTTGAGTAGCAGTTGCAGTTTTGCCTTGCTGATTGGTCTGCAGTTGCTGTCAGTATTCTCAAGAGGCTAAACTGTTCAGTCTGCGCATATGTCAACCTTTCCTATGTTAGGGCATGGTAGCTGAGTTGGCCAACACTGGCACCATATTCTGAATCTAATGGATGATTGCCTTGTATTAGTACTAGTAGGACTGGCACAGACACTTGACATTGGAAGCAGGCATAGATGAAGTGTTTACAGATGGAATGCCATTCTTAAGCACTACTTTGGGAATACAATGAGTCTGACTATAGTTCCATCTGTAAACACTTCATCTATGCCTGCTTCCAATGGCAAGTCTCTATGCCAGTCCTACTAGTACTGATGATACAAGGCAATCGTCCATTAGATTAAGAATATGGTGCCAGTGATGGCCAACTCAGCTACCATGCCCTAACATAGGAAAGGTTGGCATATGCGCAGACTAAACAGTTTAGCCTCTTGAGAATACTGATAACAACTGCAGACCAGCAAGGCAAAACTGCAACTGCTACTCAAGGTTGGAGAGAGAAGAAAGAGGAAACAAGCTTCCTGGCTCATGTTTAAGGGAAGGAAGGAAAGTGGTACTGATCTAGAAATAAATTACCTGTGCTTTCATACTGTTGCATGATGGGTGATGGGGAGTCTCTGTAAACAAACTGAATACAGAAATATCACAATATAAATGATGCCATTTAACTCATCTACAACTTACAGGGATTGTGCAGCTGTCAGCATCCCGAGATGTAAATCCCACATTGCCCAAATGAAGGATTCCAGCAAGAATTCGGAAAATTCCCATCTGGTAGGAATCACTAATCCCTGAAACAGGATGAATAAAAACCATCTGAGTGAAGTAAAGAAATCAGAACCACAGCTGATAAAAATGCTGACCCCCAATTATTTGTAAGAAGGGATGATAAAATCTGCTGTCATGACCTCCCATCTCACTCTTGTGCACTGATACTCTGCATAGACTTTCATACCAGCAAACGTTACTTGGCCCAACTTTATGTTTTACTGCAAGACAGAAGATGCAAGGAAGGATTATTAAAATATTTAATAATTCATTAGTAAACCACCCATGCTTCTGCTTAGGCTGCATTTTCAGAGAATCAGACTCCAGCATTTATTGCTATCTAAGTAATACTTTTTCCTGGCTGCCTGTGTAATACTGTAAAAAAATATAATACAGGTATCTTGATCCCCAAAGTTATCCAAATCTCTTCCTTTTTAAAATGCAATATAAAATAAATGAAATAAAACTGACAAATATAAATATAAAAACCATGATACCAAAGGCAGAATTATGTCCAGACTGTTTTCAGGAATTACCTAGCAAAGTGCAGGCCTGTCTGGTGTTCACCATTTCCTTAGCATCATCAATGCCATCAATCACTGGATTGCCCCCTTGCTTTGTATAATGAAAATAATGTGCATTCCCTACAATAAAGAATAACAAATCTTTTACATATTCTAAAGGAGAAATTCATAGCATGCTATGTAACTGTTAGATCCCTCTTGAACTTCTTAAACTGATTGGCAGAACTCACACTTCAAAATATTTCAGTATATTATAATCTCTGAACCACATATATCAGCTACACTAAAGCAGGTCTGTGTGAAGGTTTGATATTGCAGCTAAATGTTTCTAAATCCATTTGATTCCTTCAACAGATTTACTGTGTCCTTTGTAACAAACCACATCTCTGTAAGGTAGTGCTCTGGGTCCATGTGCAGCTTTCCTTTGAGCTATGATGTAACTGTGCATGAAAGCACAGCAGGATGGGAAAGGGAACTGTCTGCCCCAGAGCAGCTATCAAGTCTGTGCTTTCTATGGAAACCAAAGCCAAAATGGTGTGGCATAGCAAAGACAGTCCTCATACTTGCCCATAAATTGTGAAATATTTATTAGCTACTGTTAAATCACTAGAAACAAGTGAGAGGATACTATACATTGTACAGCCTGCCCAGGAAGCTCACACTGACATGAGAAACATCAGAATTCTCTATGTAGAGGGAACGACAGAAAAAGGACTTATTAGATGGCTCAGACCAGGAGAACTTAACCCCTAATCCACACCCCATATCCAGTCCCCACTGCCATGACATTTTGGTCCATTTTGGTCCCCACACTCTGTGGTCCTGTGCACCAGATCAGGAATAGGCCCTGATCCCACTGTGCAGGGCCAGATGGAGGCAGCACAGAGCCCTGATCCCAGCAAGCAGGACTAGGTGGAGGCTGCACAGGGCCCCAATCCCAGTGTGCAGGACCCTGATCCCAGAACATGGGGTCAGACAGAAACTGTGCAGGGTTCAATCCCAGCAGGCAGGGCCAGGTGAAGGCAGAATGGGGCCCCAATCCCAGGACAGGGTCCTAGAGCCCAATGCTAGCATGCAGGACTGGGTGGGGCCTCAGGGCCTGATTCTGGCATGAAGGGGCCAGCTGAGGCCATGCAGGGCCCAATCCAGGTGCGAACACTTGATTCTGGTCCACAGGGTCCAATCCAACCCAATGCCAGTCATTGGGTCCATTGAGCCAACAGGTTGAACAGCACTGGCTCAAACCATCCTTCACCAGCACAAGTATGGACCTGACAAGTTACAGGCCTGTGTCTCTACTAGGTGAGTTTCAAAGGACTCAAGTGAAGGGAACTCCATCCTTGCCTCAGGAAAATATTCTACAGGTTAGTACATATCTCTGTACTGTACCGAAGGCTATAATTAGTCTGCTTTTCTTTGGAAATAACTTGTCTGTGAACTGTCATTTTAGCTATTTTTGGGTAGACTTTATTGTAACAACTTAAAAAGCTCAGGATTAATAAGAACTTTAAAGCCAGTGTTTCTTCTTTTAGACCTATAACTCACAGAGCTTAGAAATAATACTTTGTACATACTGACTGCAAAACGTACTGGATGTGAATTTCATACCTAATCGTAGAGTTTTAAACTCGGATAATGCTGCAGAGGCACAGAGCTGGTAGAAGATATGATAATTTCTCTCTTCCTCTGCCTTTAAGAAAACAGAAGCAGCTACATTTCAGAATTTAACTACTGCCAGACAACTATTAATAGAATAAAGCTTCTGTGTTTAAGACATTTTGTAGCAATACATAAAAATCCACAGGGAATATGAAAAGTAAATTTGAAATTTCTCTCTTATTTCAACAATTTCCTTAAACAATACATATGCAAAAAATTAAAAAATTAGCACACAATATTGTCAGTGTTTAAAATGGTCTTACTTAAAAGTTTACAGTTGATAAAATAAGTAACAATGCCTCAGTTGCAGGATTCTAGTGAAGGGACTACTGAAACATTATATGACTTTTGACACTTTTAAAACAACATATATTAATACTAGAGAGATGCAGTCATGCAGTCTACATCTTTGGGTCAACACCACTATTATAAACATAAACACTCAGAACCGTGAAACTTCAAACAACAGACCTCTCCAAATAAATCTTAGGTTTAATAGGCCTCTATACATCCACTAATTAGAAAATACTATGGTTTTCTACATAATAGCCCACAACAATGCCTATTATAAGGTATTATTTATTATTTGTATTATGTACCTAGGAATCCTAGTCAAGGATTAGGACCCCACTGTAATAGATGGTAGACAGAAATACAAAAGAGACAACAAATGTCCAGGGGTTTCAGCCTACATGACAGACAGATGGATAAAAATAGATGAAAGGAGTAAGAACAGGTTGGGAGGATCAGGTAAAAACAAAACAAAACAAAAACAAAACAAAAAATGTTCAACAGATTAAATCGTGGATTGCCATTTGCTTAAATAATGCCAAACAGAAATGATTTACAGGCATCATGACAGAGCTCCCCTTTGCTTCCTGGTCCACCCAGTTCAAAATCAACTGCCTGGCAATGGTAGCAGCATTGCTATGGAGGCAGTAATGAAGGAATCAACTGAGTTCATGGCTCATTATCATCTACCTAACTCCTTCTAAACTCTTCATACCATAGGTGTTAATGACTCTTTTTAATGATGATGCACCACTAATCAAGCTATACTTTCTTTTGTGATTCTGCTGCCTGTTAGCTGCTCCTAATAATGTAGCTTCTATTTCACAGCTGTGCAAACTCTTTAACTAGTTAAAAAAAATTCATAGATGTTAGGGCTGGAAGGGACCTCATGAGATCATCAGGTCCAGCCCCCTGCCCAAGGTGCAGAAAGTCACCTGGGGTTAGATGACCCCAGCAAGATAAGCATCCAAACACAACATGAATGTGCCCAGAGTAGGTGCTTGCACCACTTCTGGGGGGAGTCTATTCCAGACTCTGGACTCTCGGACAGTAAAGAAGTTTTTCCTTACGTCCAGTCTAAAACAGGCTTCCAGCAGTTTGTGGCCGTTGGACATTGTCTTCCCCAGGGGAGCCCTGGTGAACAGACATTCTCCTGGATTCTGATGTACAACCCTGATATATTTATAGGCTGCCACAAAGTCCCCTCTGAGCCTACGTTTTTCTAAGCTGAAGAGTCCTGTGCCTCTCAGCCTCTCATAAGGCCTGCTCTGATCATGCGAGTGGCTTTCTTCTGGACTCTCTTGAGCTTCTCCATGCCCTTTTTAAAGTGTGGAGCCCAAAACTGGAGGCTGTACTCCAGCTGCAGCCTCACCAAGGCTGAATAAAGTGGGAGAATGACATCTTGGGCCTTGTTTGAGATGCATCGGGAGATGAAAGCCATCAACTCCATTAAATCAAGGCCATTAAATCAGGTGTGGAAATCTTAACTCAGGTGTGAAAATAATGTTCAGTGAAGCATTGGATGCACTGTCAAGAACGCTAGATTTTGTTTTATGAATTGAAAAAAAAGATGTACATTTAATTCTAATGACTACAGGACTAATGCAACAACATATTTTGATTATTTTTGCCTAGTTTGTTGTGTTTTTCTATGCATAATAAACGACAGGTTTTCAATCGGGGGTATGCGTACTCCTGGGGGTACGTGGGTTGGCCTCAAGGAGTACTTGGCAGTGGGAATTGCCACCGTCACTGTCGCCGATCGGCTGCGGGGGACCCCTCCAGCTCGTCAACTGGCTGCTGGGGGACACCTGCTCGTCTGGCCGCTGGGGGAATCCTGTCTTCTCGATGGTCACTGGGAGTACACCGACCCAAAAAGGTTGAAAACCCCCGATATATGATATAGCACATTAACGCACATTCCAGTAAGGTTATGTTTTTGTTTCAATCTTAACCCGACTAATACAGCCCTGGGCCCCTAGCTGACTAGTGCATCTTCTAGTTTCTTTTCAACTGGAGAAAAATACATGTTGTGTTATATTTGACAAAGCACCATAAACTTTCCCCTCCCCCTTTTTAAATCCTAAATCCACTCATAACAGTTATATCCACTATTTTGCTGAAGGCGTTTAATCCTTAGATATACACCATATTCTTACTGTCAGTAAACGAAATGTAGATTTTGCAAGCATAAATGTTTAATATGCTTACAAGTTGACTTAGTTCCTATCCTGTCTGGGTGTGTATTACAGCTACAAGATCCTAGTGACCTCTTAGTCATTAGAGGTACCTAGCACTAGCTGGCAGTAAGATTTTTGTTATAATCACATAACACGCAATAAACAGATTGTATCAGCATTACCTGAAATACCACTCTTGATTTTTCTAAGAGGTAAGTTCTCATGTTAGCACCAATGATTCGATACCTCTTATCGAAACCAATCTCAATGTATTTCCCAAAGCGACTGCTGTTGTCATTCCTTGTGGTTTTGGCATTTCCGATGGACTATGGGAAAAATATACAAAGATTGAACAGCTCTTAGAAATTATCTTATCTACTTATTTTTCTGTATGGGTTACAAATATTAACCCACATCAACATTGCTTTGTTCCAGAACAAGTTTTGGTCTGCCCTGCTGTGCAGAGCCAAGGAGAACTCCCTCCGACCCCCACCACTTTCCTTTGCTGCCAAGCAGCTGCTCGCCTGCCCCAGGCAGGAGGAGGAAGCAGGCCCTCAGCTGGTGCCTTGTCCCCCAACCCTCAACAGCCAGGCATCTGTGGGAAAGCCTCTGTCTGGTAGGGGCAGAGGGGTTTCCTCCAGCCCAGGGCCACCCTGTCCTGGGGAGTCGAGGGAAATTCTCTCCCCCTCCTTCTCCCTCTTCCCTGTGTGACTGGTTGGCTCAGCCTCTGCCACAGGTGGGAGGGGGGAGCAGTCCCCCAGACCATGTGTGGGGGACCCCAGGGCAGGGACTCCCCCATACTCCCATGCCTGGCTGCAAAGACAGGCACTTGGTCCAGGGGACTACTCCCCCATGCCACCTGCAGGAGTAAGTCTGAGCCACAACTCAGCTGGCTGTGTGGGAAAGGGGGAGAGGGGAACCCCCTCTGCTCCCCCAAGGAGGGGCAGACCAGGGCTCATGGGACCCTGGTGCAGGCCAGGAAAACTCCCCTAGCTCCCCCACACATGGGCCAGCACCTAGATGGGGAGCTCTTCAACCCCCTGCAAGGGATGACAGCAGGGGTTGGGGGCAGGTGCTGAGTAGCCAAACAGGCATAGCCCTGCTTCAATGGGCTTGCAATGGCCAGCAAGCTGGGAGGTGTGCTCTAGCACCCCCCCCCCAGCTTCTGGCCTGGTCCGATATAGCCATCTGGCTGCCTTTCCTAACTGAAAAGTGAACATCAATTCAGTTCGTTATCATCCAGTCTACACGGTTTAAAGGAACCTGGAAGATTGAATCTATTCCACCTCGGACTTTTTGATTGTCTGCATTTAGCCTGACTGGCACCCTGAGGCATCCTTTGTTGAAAAATAGGATCTCAAGGCACCTTTATTGAAACATAGCTGGTCTAGAAGCTAACATCCACTGACTAAGGGTGTTTGCCTAACTTTATGAAGTTTCTTTTTTAACTGCTTTATTAAAACTTCGAAGATGTTCCTGTTTCAATAGTGTCCTGGGTCTAGCAACTCAAACTCTAAAATTTTAGGGATATTTTTCTATGGCCCCAGTGTTCACCATTTCCCAGATCTCTCACCAGGTTCTCTCAGTAATATTTAGTATAGATTATAATTTAAAACACTGTCCTTGTTTATCAGTTTTGGGATGAAATGTTAACCACAAAAACCTGCATGTGACAGAAGCACACAGCTTGTTCATAGGATGCACTCTGCAGATACATACAGAAGAAATAAGAAAAGGTTCTACATTCTTGATTATGATACATACATACATACATACAATACAATGCTCCAAAGTACCAATGACATAATAAAATAAATGCATCATTTCCTGAATAGTACAGCACATTTTGGGAATCTTTGTAAACACTCTATTACTCCTCTCAGCAAAGACTCTTGTTTCCCGGCAATTTGTACAAATAAGCATTAACATGAGAAGGTTCATAGGACTGGATCCCTGGTTTTAAAGCTGGAATTTTACACTTCAGTCATTACCTCCAGAAAAAGCCTTAGCTCACTGTATATTGTCATTTTGCTAGAAATATACTCCTAAATCACAGTTGCTGCTGCCTGTGTGTGTGTGTGCGCATACACAAGAAGCGTGTATGTAAAACTATCCCATATTTTCAGATTGTCAGAAGCACATGGAAAAACTAGGTTTGTACAAACTGCTCTGTAATATTAACTTTAGCAGTTGCTCCTAATAAAATACCAGTCACACACAAGCAATAGTGCATGGATGAATATTAAGACCAGGTAAGTTAGATAGCCCTTATTTTTCAGAAAGGCCAAATAAAGGCATACAGGAGTAGTATTATCTGGCATCTACCCTGAAGCACAGTCTAACACAAAAACCCCTTTATGACCCTTCAAGTTTGGATTACAAGTTTAAGACACTCTCCGATGATTATGATGGAAAAGCATTTCATTTCCAAAATGTACTGTAATGTTTTTTATGATGAGGCAGTAAGCTGTTAATTAAATTTGTAACCTGAAACACAAAGTTATAGCATTTTGCAAAACAAACAAGAGTCTGTAATAACACCACTACTTTAATGAAGCCTTACTGAGAGTGCAGGAACGAACCATCCCAATGTGCAGTGAGGGGCACCAGCAGGGCTGGGGGAGCTGTAGGGTGTGGGAGGTGGGGGAGAGGGGAGTGAGGAACACCAGCAGGCCAAGGGGGGCCATGGGGAGGGGAGGGGCTCATTTTAATAATGGAATTTATCAGAAAATTTGTGATTTTTTTTTTTTTAAACCAGGGAAAACAAGGATCCCTGGTAATAATCAATGGCTCGATGTCTAGTTGGCAGCTGGTATCAAATGGAGTGCCTCAGGGGTCAGTCCTGGGGCTGGTTTTGTTCAATGTCTTCACCAACAACCTGGAGGATGACCGTCAGCAAGTTTGCAGATGACATTAAGCTGGCAGGGAGTAGCAGATACACTGGAGGGTAGGGCTACGATACAGAGTGAGCTAGACAAATTGGAGGATTGGGCCAAAAGGAATCTCATGAGCAGGGATCCTGGTTTTCCATGATAAAAAACCCCACAAATTCTCTGATAAAAATCCCCAAATCCATGGTTAAAATTAAATGCCTCCCACAGCCTCACTGGTGTCCCTCACTCCCCACCCACACCCCCCACAGCCTTGCTGGCACCCCTCACCCCACACCCACAGCTCCTGCACCCCAACCCTGCCAGAGGGGGCCCCCAGCTGCCAGGGCTATGGGGCCAGGGACCCAGGTCCACATCCCCCTGCCCCCAACAGAAGGCAGTGGCTGCTACAGCAGGAGCACAACCCAGCTCCCCCCTGCTGCTTGCCTGCTGCAGGCTCGGGCGGAGCCAGCTCCCAGTGACAGCATGCAGTCCCGGGGGATGGGGGAACCCGCGCCCCTGAGATCTGTGTGGGGGACGGGGGCAAGGCGGGTGTGCGCTGCCCCTGTGCACACAGAGGAAATGTGGTCAGGGCAGCACAGAGCTTATAGCGGCAGGCAGGTTTTGTGCATGGCCCTGCTGTGTCCTGCCACGCCAGTCGCACACACTGTACTCCAGAGAACCTGGTGGAGGGCAGGAGGGAGGGATGCGCAGTGTTTGTGACCCAGGGTTTACAACTGGCCGGACACTCCAGCTGGGGGAGGTGGGGTTTGCAGTGTCCCCACTCCTGGCTGAAGTGCCTGACCAGCTGCAAACCCTCACTCGCGACCAGAGAGCGCCCAAGCTGGCTGGGGGCTGAGGGATCAGGGAGGTTTGCAATCAGCTGGGCACTCTAGCTGGGAGGGTGTTTGCAGTCTACCTGCTCCCAGCCAGAGTGCTTGGCTGGCTGTAAACCCCTGCCGCTCCTGGCCACCTGCAAACTGGAGTGCCTGGCCGGCTGCAAACCTCCCCACTCCCTCAGCCTCCACCCAGCTTGGGCACTCCCCAGCCAGTCACTCCTGCTGGGAGGTGGGGTTTGCAGCTGGCCAGGAGGTTTGGGGGTTTGCAGCTTGCCGAGCACTCCAGCCGGGAGCAGGCTACAAACCCCCTCCCAGTTGGAGTGCCCAGCAGGCTGCAAACCTCCCCACTCCCTCAGTGCCTGGCCAGCTTCCCCCACCAGCCCTGCCTTGCAACCCCCAAACCCCACTTACCTCCAGCAAGAAGAGCGAGTCTGCAGCAGCCTCCAGCAAGCATGAGTGCAGGGCCCTGCCCTTCCCCTTCAGGCAGGGTTGAGGGTTTTCCCGCCCCTTTTGCAAACAGCTCTTGTAGGCTGGAACTCAGCCATCCTGCAGAGCTCTTTGCAAAAGGGGGAAATCTGTGGGGTTATCTTCTAAAAGGGAAAATCCATGCTTTCTCTGTTTTTCCCATGGAAAACGGAAAACCCAGATCCCTGCTCATGAGGTTCAACAAGGACAAATGCAAAGTCCTGCACTTAGGAGGGAACAATCTCATGCACCAGTACAGGCTGGGGACTGACTGGCTGGACAGCAGATCTGAAGAAAAGGACCTGGGGGTACAGTGGACAATAAGCTGAATGTGAGCCAACAGTGTGCCCTTGTTGCTAAGAAGGCTAACAGCATACTGGGCTGCATTGGTAGGTGTGTTGCCAGTAGGTCCAGGGAAGTGATTATTCCTCTTAATTCAGCACTGGTGAGGCCACATCTGGAGTACTGTGTTCAGTTTTGGGCACCCTACTACAGAAAGGATGTGGACAAATTGGAGAGAGTCCAGTGGAGTGCAACAAAAATGGTGAGGGGGCTGGGGTACCTATCCTATGCGGACAGGCTGAGGGAACTGGGTCTGTTTAGTCTAGAGAAAAGAAGGCTGAGAGGGGATCTAATAACAGCTTTCAACTACCTGAAAGGTGGGGGGGGGGGCTCCAAAGAAGATGGAGTTAGTGTTCTCAGTGGCAGCAGATGACAGAGTAAGGAGCAATGGTCTCAAGTTGCAGCAAGGTTAGATATTGGGAAGAATTTTCTCACTAGGAGGGTAGTAAAGCACTGGAACAGGTTACGTAGAGAGGTGGTAGAATCTCCACCCTTGGAGGTTTTTAAGGCCCAGCTAGATAAAGCTTTGGCTGGGATGATCTCGTTGGGGATGGTCCTGCTTTGAGCAGGGGGTTGGACTAGATGACCTCCTCAGGTCCCTTCCAACCCTAATTTTCTATGAAAGTCGCCTGATTTAAAAAAAAATGTTTTTAACTAGGAGAGAGTTTAAGGTATGCTGTTTAGGAACTGAAACCAGTAGTCAGAGGTGTGTCCCATCCAGTGGAGATGGAGTTAAGATCTGGTGGCAAGACAGAAAGTCATTTGCTGCTGGCTACCTATTACTTGTACAGGAACGGGCCAGGAAGAAAT